TACGGTGAGCAAAAATAAAAGGAACGAAGCTCTGATTATTAAAAAGCCGCTCAAAATGATTATCTCCTCTCAGACTATAAGGTTCCGATATAAGACCTCAACCACAGTAGAAATAATGGAAATGACTATACAGGGTGTCCCGAAAAAAGTGTGCAATATTCTACCAGCGGTTTCTAGATCTTAAAATAGGAAGAAAAGTTTATATAAAGATAGGTCGACAAACGTCCCCTAAGGGCGCTACGGTCTTTTAAAGGGGCTCTCCTGAAAATGGTTTTTCCTTAATATTTCCGAAACGTGTTGAGATAAAGACATAAAATTTGGTATTCTGGCCTAGTTTTTTATGTTTTGTTTGTAAGCGTATGTAACAGGTATGGACTCAGGTTGTTTTAGCCCCAAAAATTTTGTGTGATTCTATTTTTGAAACTCAATCTTATAATTTGAAAATTTAGGGTTTTCCACATAAAAAAGTACTCTTATTGAATATCGATAAATTGTGACATTTTTGAATAAAATCAAACTAAAGAATTTGCCACATGATAGGAAATGTACTGCGAATTTAAATGAATTGTTGAATAATTAGCCATGGCAACGGAAAAACTAGTTTAACAATTGGTAAATATTACATAAATACATATTTCTACGAACGAAATTGAAATTTGTTTACAAAAGAAAACATACAGTTGGATATACTTAAAACTAGCTTAACAATAAGTTTTCAAATAAATTCCCATTTTGTCGGATACAGAGTCTCGCTCGACGAACTAATGATTGCGTAGCCCGAAAAGTGGAAAACCTTTTTCTTCTTATTTCATTTGCAGTCTGATGGATCCTTTGAACTAAATCTTGTTGAGTATTTACTTCAGTCGGGTAAACTATGTCTTTTAATGACCCCCAAAAATAGAAATCCAATGGATTTAGGTCAGGTGAACGTGGCGGCCACGCTATAGGACCTCCTCGGCCTAACCACCTGTTTTATTCAAAAATGGTACAATTTGTCGATATTCAATAAGATTACTTTTTTATGTAGCAAACCCTAGATATTCAAATTCTAAAATTGAATTTCAAAAATAGAATCACACAATAATTTTGGGGCTAAAATAACCTGAGTCCGTCCCTGTTACATACGCTTCCAAGCAAAACTGGCTAAAATCGTTAATATTTTTAAGTCCAGCATTAAAAACTAGGCTAGAATACCAAATTTTATGTCTTTATCTCAACACGTTTCGGAAATATTAAGGAAAAACCATCTGCAGGGGAGCCCCTTTAAAAGACCGTAGCGCCCTTAGGGAACGTTTGTCGACCTACGTTTATAAGAACTTTTCTCCCTATTTTAAGCTCTAGAAACTGCTGGTGGAATATTGCACACTTTTTTCGGGACACCCTGTATAAAATAGGCATGTTCTCAAAATTCTAATTAGTGAAAAGCCAATCACTTGTCGCTTTGCTAATAATTGGCAATACGCGGTATTCCTTATAGACTGTTGGGAAAGTTTTTGGGCAGTAGCAACATACGCTAACCAGATGTAGTCCAAATTAGAAAAGTCAGACTCAAGTGAATGAAAAAAAAAAAGTTATGTCAAGGCGCCTCCGAGTCTTAAATTTTGTAACTAATTACTCGTCGAGTTAAAAAAACGAACACATGCAATATGCAGAAAAAATCGTACATATTATACGATATCCAAAGCGTTCCAAACTAGAAATATCAGACTAAAGAGTTGATGATCGCATTGAATTTTGAGTGAAGAGCGCGCCAATTTAATTCGTAAATAAGCAGTCAGACATAAATAGTGGTGTATATAAATGTTCTACCTAGTTAGGTTAAAGGTGGTGGAATTATATTGTAAATAAATTAGTGCATTTCTTTTTGTGGAATCGAGTATTTTAATCCACACCCAAAAGAACCCAGGAAAATGATACATTATTGACATAATATTGGGGGAACGTATCTTTGGTGCTGCAAGTTTGAAGTTTTCCACATCATCAAATATTTGATATTTATTTTTTTGAAAACCGAAACCTACCATTAACTGTTCGACATAAAATATTGTGTGACATAAAATGTTTGATACAGGAAACTCGGAGTCTGATAAAATATAAAGCAATAAAAATGATTTGAGGTAAATAATCAGAGACTTGGAACAAAGAACATTGAAAACTATATGAGTCAAGAAACGTTCGCAATGTCATAACTTTTTGTTGTTTGAAGCGTTTTGATTGATTGTAGCGATCACTTGTAATTCCGTGGATTGAGCCACAGTTGGCTAAGCGGTATTGTAGTGCCGATGCTACGTTTTGCTACCTACATTTAATGTTAAACAACTTATTTCACAGTATAACCTCATTTTTCATCTAGCTTCAATGTTCCGGAATCTTGTCTACCCGGTTACAGCAGTATATGTTTCAAGTGACTTTTTGCAAGGCTGACGAAACTGTACGCAACGCGGCAAGGTACATTCTCACATTACTTTGAGTACGATTTCAATAATTTGACAATCAGACACCACCACATGAAAATTGGTAGGAAATAGTCAAAAAATATGATCGGACTAGAAAAATATTGACCGTTTAGGAGCGCTATAAGCATATGAGACTGTCAGAAGTAGTTATTGTTCCCATTGATGATGTGATGTGAGGGCTCGATAATGAAATATGAGATTGCCTGGCATGTTAATCAGTAACTACGCTTCCGTCAAACGCCGATCAGAGTATTAAAATAAACAAGGTATTCCGTTTAAACATTTTGAGAAAAGCCGCACCTTGGGCTGTCCAATACCCCGTATACAGGTCAAATTATCGACACTTACGGCAGTGTAGTTTGAAGATAATGTGATTTTTCACCAGCTTTCAAAATCCAACAAAAGCCAGCCAGAATGGCCAAGAGCCAGGCTCTCAAATTTTGTCCAGCTTCCAGACAACTGATGGATGAGCTAAACAAATGATATGTGAGTGTCCTTGTTTTGAAAAGGTTTTTCCAAATATCTAATAATATCCAGGGCTTTCAATTGAACAGATATGCTCATTTTGTCAACGCCCTGAATACGTCTAAGTGATTGGAAAATATCCATTTGTTAGACGTCTATCTTATTTCTGAACATCTTTTTTAGTTCACTCATGAAATTACTACTCATTCTTTGGACAAACAGCATATTTGAATTACTTGTTGCTTGGTAAATATATGGAATACAGGTAAATAATTGCATAGCGAAGTGTTTGTTAGACCATGTGGCTAGCAAAATATGTTGGCAACACTGCCACTCTCCTATCAGCTTACCTTGAAAGTAGGCATAAAGTTATGTCAAACGGGTTCTGAAAGCGATTATTGTATTGCTGGATATGAGTTAAAAAATGTATTGAATCTGGCCCGTTTCCGGAAACTAGTGAATGTAGTAGCTCTGGTGGTGGTACCAAAGGAGTCAATTTGACCTTTCCACTGGCGCACCATGATCCGGAGGTCCATTTTTAAACTTGAAAGCATTGCAATGTGGACACAACGTTCGTTGGCCTAACAGGAACGATTTGTTGTGAACTGTAATAGATTGCCATGTCATAATTGAATGGAGCTCGTTTGGGATTAAATGTGTCACTTCTACGTTGTTGAATTTCAGTCCTTTGATCCCGTTCAACTACATTTCTCGCTTTTCGTTGCTCGTCAGTTTGACTTTTGCGTGTATATCTTTGACGCATTGAGAGTTCTGCGACGTAAGTTAGCACGTCTAGTTGGTGGCATTTTGAAGAATCACAATTTTTAATATATAAGGCGCGAATTCCACCCATGTTAATTATTTTTGAACAAATACTTCTCAAAAAAACTGGAAACTAAAAGTTCTAATCCAATAAACTCTGCACTACACGTTAAATAAAAAAATGTTTTTTCAACGATGAATAAATACTGTTTAACGATAATAATATAACTTTGCGGCGTGCGAGCTGTCAAGTTCAAAATGATGAGAGCAGTGAGAGTCAATTAAGCAAAGAAACGAATTTGCATCCGCCATTTTCATTCATAGAGTTAACTGACAAAGATAAGGTTTAGGTAACACTGCAGTTTCCTTTATGGCCATCACAAAGTATGGATGGTATAGAAAAGAAAGTACAAAAACGAAAGCATAAGCAACTCTCACATAGCTAACTGTCAATAGCTATTGAAATAAAGATAGCGTAAAGCAGTGCCTGTAACTTATGGAACTTGACATATTTTTTCTGTTGTGCGTGCTCCAAGTTCAAGCGAACTGTCAAATGCGCGTAGCTCAAATAATCATTAGGCTTTCAATGATTTCCCAATTTTCTGTGCAATTCTCTTGATTTTTCTTCTTCTTCTTACGTAAGATCCTTCTGTACAGTATTAGGGAACTTTTAGAAAAAGGACGAATGCAATCTGTAAAGTCGCTCTCAAGTTATGGCGTGACCACGGGAAATAGGGATTCATTTTTATAGAAAAAAAATACCTTTAATATGAATATATACATTTTATTGACAGTACAAATCTTTTATGATACAGTTCTTCAAAATTGAGAAAAAACAATAGCTTAATACAAAATGTAATCATGTACAACAACTTCTGTTTCTTTAAAAAATTGCTGATCACGACTTCGCTTGTTCTTTATTCTGAATGAAAATTATGTAATATATACATATATATATAGTATAAATGATATAAAGACATCTGGTAAATTGATAAGTACGTATTAACATTAGTACGAAAAGTTGTCGCAGAATATTATAGTATTATGTAGTCTTTGAACCCAAATCGGAATCTCCTTTAGACGCTAAAATAAGTCGTTCACTAAATCGCTTGAAAATCCAAGGTATCCCTTTAGTTACATGGAAGATCAGTTTTTAGTAAGCGTATTTACTCACTAGGGCGCATGTTGAAGACACAATTTTGGATTGAACAGAAAGTCAACAGCTAATATGATACAGCCATGTGATGAGAGTGAGTAACGAGATATGGCTAAGGGAAATGGTATTTAATATACCAACCAAGAGAAGGAAGTGAGGCCTTGAGGAAAATGAAAAGAATGAAGGAGATTAGCAAAATAGCAGTAGTAGTAGTAGATTACGTCAAAAACTATACAAAAGAACCGTTGTTTTTCTATCATAATGAACGACCTTCGTAGGTTAAAGGAGGTCACTTTACGCCTGTGGCTATTGGAAGGGCGAATAGTCGCCAAAAAATTGGTCAAAATTCCTGTACCATTCAGAACCGCCACTATTGCTAGACCCTTGTTGGGCATGTTTCGTATTTTCGTATGTTTCCTTTGGGCAAGGCAACTCTTTCAGTGGTTCTGCATCACGGGTCTTGCTCGGTCTTTCTTGATGTCCATAGTCAGCCGATTTGTAAGCGAATCCACTCGTTCTGAAAACATTCGAGTTAAGTAAATTCATGCCAGAATTCACATACTTTAAAGTTTAAGCTATATCATTGATCAACGTATTCTTCAAAGAGATTCCAAAATATATCCTATATTTGGGAGTTTTCTCACAATTTGCGTTGCCACAGACATGTTGCCATGTGAGATCAGTAATTCCTTCTGAAGTGGCCAAAACAGAGTACATTTTCCTATTTATAAAGATGTTTATCTTAAAGCAACGTCAATATTCTAAAAAATTGCACCTCTATTTCCATCGTAATTATCAAAGACGGTGGTCCACACCTATGTTCAAAGTTGTAACCGTTTTCTCATTTGGGAAGAAAAGAGTGAACTGGTTATTTTTCTTCAAAAACATAAAATAACTGACCCACATGAAAGTCCGAGGGGAAAGAGGACTTGGATACATCAGTTTTATTTTCCTTCCAGTCTTGTGAACTCAGGAACTTGAGCAATTCTCTATATGGCTGTCACAAGCCTCATGTAGAATCAACCTTTAAATATGATAAGTTACTTACGGATGGTAACTCTGGCTGTGAGGTGCAGAAGAAGACCACTTGGAACTGGATGTCGAATGCGAGTTTTTGGAGTCCTTATTGTCGTATGGATGATTCTGGGAGTGATTAAGTCCACTTGATATTCCAGACGCTGAGCTATATGTAGGCTTTCCTGGCGCGGCTTGAGGCTGAGGAACTTCTTTTTCTTTATTGTTGGACCTTGATCTCATCTTTCCTTCTTTGATAGCATCATACATCGACTGATGAACGATATTACTGCTAGACTCTTGCTGGACATGTTGCTTGTTTTCATATTTTTTCTTTGGGCAAGGTAACTCTTTCAGTGATTCTGCATAACGGGTATTGCTCGGTCTTTCTTGATGTTTATAGTCGACCGATTTGTAAGCGGATCCACTAGACCTGAAAACAATCGAGTTAAGTAGAATTAGTCGAGTATTATATACAGAATGTCTGCGAAAGATTGCGAAATCTCGAAACTGGAGATACTACAGACCAAAATATGTGAATTGACCTAAACATACCTTTTTCCAAAAGTTGATAGTTTGTGAGATACAGGGTGTCAAAGTTACAATCTAATTTTCTATTTTTCCTTACTGCTTATCAGAAGTGTCTAAACCTAATAGTTTCCGAGGTATTTGTTTTTAGAGGTTCCAATGCATTATTTGTACCACGACGATAAAATATTTTTATAACAAAATAATGAAGTTGCTTTGGACAATATCTGAGTTGCGCTGGTATGGTTTCTAATATTTGTTATAATATTGCTTTGCGTTGCTAAATATCATGGAGTATACGTTTGATGAATATTCTGATATGCATTTAATGGACGGTTTGGCAAGATGCTTTAAGAACAAATATCTCGAAAATTATGAGCCTTAGATACTTATAACAAGTGGACCTTTTTTATTGTGGAAATACGAGAAAATAAGATTTTTCACAAAAAGGTTATGATAAACTATTTACCGAAATAGCGCTGTAAGTGGCGTCGTCTAAAAGCTTGTCCATAAAAGTAATGGATTTTTGTTTCTCATACTAGAAAACCTCTCCAAATCGAGTATTACCCCATCTGAAATACTTCTCAGGCAATAAGGAAAAAAAGAAAGTAAAATGGTAACTTTGACACCCTGTATCTCGCAAACTATCAACCTTTGTTTCGATATTTCCCAACCCAAAGAGATGCCCGATGCCGATGCCCAAAAGTGATCAAAAGAAACTAAGTTTTCCTATTTGTGAAAATGTTTGTTCTAAAATTACATCAACCCTCCAAAGAAATATTACACCTCAATTTCCGTCGTAAGTATTCCTAATATTTAATGAATCTTTGCATATGATAGTTTACTTACGGGTAGTAACTTTGGCTGTGATGTGCAGACGAGCTGGAACTGTTTGTCGATCGCGGGTTTCTGGAGGAGTCCCTGTTGTCGTGTGGATAGTCCGAATTGTTGGTAGTATTGTTGGATAACGGTTTGGTAGTATGTCCTCGAGCTACAGATACTTGGCTTGAAGATGTTGCACGTTTTTGCATTGGACCACTGTGTTTGTTTCTCGGTGTAATCTTTTCAGTTTGCTCAATCAATTTAGCTAGATCAGTGTTAGCCTTAGCTTGACTTGGCGCACTACGGTCAGATTTCGGTACATTTCTACTACCTGCGCCAATTTTAGGGATCTTGTAAGGAACCGAATTCAAATTCTCTTTAATTGATTCAGCAGCTGGTTTCCCTACAGGACATTCACGGTTTCTCCCATTGCTTAGAATTTTTGTTTGAACCGCAGGAACTTTACCCTCACTTCTGGGTAGATCAATGTTAGCCTTAATTTGACTTGGCGCACTACGGTCAGATTTCGGTACATTTTTACTACCTGCGCTAATTTTAGGGATCTTGTAGGGAGCCGAATTCAAATTCTCTTTAATTGATTCAGCAGCTGGTTTTCCTACAGGACTTTCACGGTTTCTCCCATTGCTTAGAATTTTTGTTGGAGCCGCAGGAACTTTACCTTCACTTCTGGGTAGATCAATGTTAGCCTTAATTTGACTTGGCGCACTGCCGTCAGAATTCTGTACATTTTTATTACCTCGGCCGATTTTAGGAATTCTGTAAGAAACCGAATTGAAATTCTCTTGAACTGATTCAGTGGCTGGTTTTCGTACAGGACTTTCGCAGCGTCTCCCATTACATAGAAGTTTTTTTGGAACCACAGGAACCTTACCTTCACTTCTGGGTGAGTATTCTTCAATTAGGTTATTCAGTTCCAGCTTAGTCTCAATTTGACTAGCTTCTGACATAACCTTAGCGAACTTGGAAGGAGGTGGCTGCAAAGTACCTCCAGCAGCTCTTTTGAGCTCGTTTTTAGTTTCTTTAGACTCTTCAACCTTACAAGAGGGACGTTCCCTCTTTGGAGTAAATACAGGGGTTCTACTGTATTTCCTTGTAGGGACCATTGGTGTATCGATAGGTTTAGCGATACGCTTTTTAAGTGTTTTCGAAGGACTTTTGCAGGGTCTCTCATGGCATGGAATTTTGGTGGGAACCGCAGGAACTTTGCCTTCGCTTCTGGGTGAGAATTCTTCAACTAATTTAGGCAGTTCGAGCTTACCGTCGATTTGAGTAGTCAGACTGAGGTTTAATGACGCTTCTTTCGCAATCCTAGCGACCTTAGAAGGAGGTGGCTGCAGAAGACCGTCAGCAGACCTTTTGAGCGCGTTTTTAGCCTCTTTATTTTCTTCAACTTTATGAGAGGTATCTTTCTTCTTCGGAGCAACAACACGGGTCCTAATGTTTTTCCTTGTAGGGCCAGCGGGTATCTCCTTAGGTTTGGCGATACGCTTTTCTATCTTCGGAGGTGTCGCAGTTCTAGCATCATTCATACTGTTGCTCTCCCCCATATATGGAATATTGACATAGGCTTGAATATCTACAGGTAAACACGATGGGAAGTTCAACTTAGCTGAATCAATGCTAAGGTTGTTTTGATTTGTCGCATTGCGGTCAAATTCTGGTACATTTCTTTTATCTGCACCATCGTTAGGAATCTTGTGAGGAACCGCATTTAAATTCTCTTTAATTGACTCAGTGGCTGGTTTACCTACAGGACTTTTGCGGGGTCTCTCATGATACGGAAGTTTCGTTGGAACCGCATGAACTTTGCCTTCGCTTCTGGGTGAGAACTCTTCAACTAATTTAGCCATTTCGAGATTAGCGTCGATTTGAGTAGTCAAGCCGAGGCTTAATGACGGCATATCTCCTTTGGAGATCCTAGCGACCTCGGAAGGAGGTGACTGCAAAAGATCTTCAGCAGACCTTTTGGGCGCATTTTTAGTCTCTTTAGGTTTTTCAACTTTATGAGAGATCTCCTTGTTCTTCGGAGCAACAACCCGGGTCCTACTGTTTTTCCTTGTAGGGATAGCGGTTATCTCCTTCGGTTTAGCGATACGTTTTTGTATCTTCGGAGGTGTCACAGTTCTGATAACTTTCTTACGGTCGCTCTCCGTAGTAGATGGAATACTGGCAGACGGTTCTGGACTTAGAGGTAAAGGTGATACAGAGTTTTCTGTTGTCATGCTTTCTTCACTGGGAATCAGTACCACGTTTGCATAAGCTTCCGCCGGTATATTCTATAAGATAAGCAAGTTCTAATTAGATAAATCTGTTTATGCTTTTAAGTAATCAATACTACAATATGAAATTTACTTAAAGCAGAAACGTTCCTCTACGAGCTTCCGATATGCAACTTGGGCCATCTATTGTAGAAGAATATAGCTAACCGCATTAAGAACGGCTATTTTAGTATCTTTTTTAAGTTATACATAGTGTCCCAATATTCTGTGGACATAAAACCACAGTTTTATAGACTCAAAATAAGTTGATTGAGCATGATTTACTTCTTTGCAAAAGTGGTTTGTTTGTACGTTAGAGGGCGTCAAAGTTTTCTTTTTAAAACTCATTTTTTACATATTTTAAGAACCGGTAGTCCGATTTGAATGACATTTGAGACATAAATATTTTGCTAGACTTTTACGAAAAACTTCAAATGGTACAAAAAGGTTGAAAACTACCCTAGCCCTACATAAATCATAGCAGAAATTTTTGGTAACTTTCTCGGTGACACTGAATTTTGTTTAGCAGATCTTTTTATATACTTTATTTTTTGTCTCCCTTAAAAACAGGCAATACCATGCAGTTTTCGAGAAAAGACAGTGAGTTGCATCAAGATGTTATTAAGCGTCTTCCTAATGCTTTAAGTGTATTTAGGGAAAAGCATGATATTGCTTACTACAGTGTTATTGAATATAGGCATTGCGAATACTTCATAAAGAGGGAAAAATGAAGTAAATAAGACGACATCTTGAAAAAGGAAATTAACAGTCGCTAAAAAGAGTTGCGAAAAAGTTCTATAATGTATGTAAGGGTAGGGGTAGTTGTCAGCCTTCTTGAATCCTTTCTAGTTGTTTGTGAAGGGCGAATATTATTACGTCTAACGAAACTCATGTTTGACGAATTTCATTCAAATGAGGATATCGGTACCAAAGATATCTGAAAAAATGTGTTTTAAAATGAAAACTTTGACGCCCTCTAACGCACAGACAAAGTACTTTTTCATCGAGATAAATTATGTCCAATCGTCTCATCTTTAGTCTAAAAATAAGTAGTAGTTCTATGTCCACGGAATACTGTGTCCCCCTGAATAACGTTTTCACGCGGATAGGATTAACTTTATGAAAAACTGAAAACCTCATATAAAAAATTAATGTTTGTTGAAATATGGGTAGGTATCCACGGAAACCAACCAACAACCGCAACCCGATACAGCACTATTCGTAAAATTGATATTCGGATAAAAGTACTTCCGTATCATGTTTTTGTGCTTTCAAGTGATTCAGCATGGAACGGTGTTAAAAGCTCCCCATGGGAGCTGCCTGTGGTGAAAGAATTACGTCAAGCAAGCTGATAGCAATGACTGGTCACCTGACTCAATAAATGACTTTCCACAGATCTTCTATTGAACATATATTTGTTGCCGTATTAGAAGGTCTTTTTAGTATATAAAAAATATCACACATTCATTGATTGATCCGCCTAGCTCTTATTTATAAAATACGTTAATTGTGCGATTCTTCTGCTTACGTGTTCAAGAACCAAAGAAATCTATTTATATTCCGCCTTCCTATTTGTAAGTTTATAGTCGGTGGCTATACACATATACAACCTCAAAGTGGAAATGGAAACTGAAGTAGGATTTCCGTCGTCTCGCTGTGATAAGAACAGTGCTTTGGAGCCATAAGACAATATTAAATTTATCTGCATTGCATTGTATGTGTCCGAAATGTCATATATACACATCGCTTTGCGTTTTTGAGAAAAAATCTTATGAGAATGTAAAACCATATGCTTACCAACTGATAAATGTTCTCCTCCTTGTTATATTGGATCCAATCCTCTGTAACATTGGGAAAATCAGAAGTCTTGTTAGGAACCGTGTTTCTGGCACCTTCATCAATTAATATCATGGATTCTTTGTCATTTAGTCCGATTCCGTTGCTAGAGGAGCGATCCGTAACAGGCGAAGGACGACCTTCAGGCAAGAGGATATTGTTGATATCATACTCATTGGCATCGTTGAGTCGCACATTGTTCTCCAAGGCACTGAAGTCCACCGTCTGTTGTGTCTATAAAACAGGTTAATTATGAGATTTATAGACTTAAGCGTTCAAGAACCAGATGAATTTATTTATATCCTTAATTATAAGTGTAAAGTCAGTGGCTATACCCATAACCTCAAAACGGAAGTGGTAGTTAATTCGGTTAGACTGCAAAACTGATCGATTGAATCGATAAGCCAACATGAAATTATCTACATTGCTTTGTGTGTCAGAAATGTAATATCCAGGGTTGAAAAAAAATATATTTAAAAAACAAAAATCATGTTTTTTTACGTTGTTTTTTTTTTGTTTAAGACATTCTAATTTAGCTGAAAAAAACATGTTTAAAACACTGTTAATACATGTTTAAAACAGTAAAAAAATTAGAAAACTATTGCCTATATAATCTAGCAACGTTAATGAAGCTCCTTGAAAGTGTTATAACTGTTTTTGATCCAGCTCTATCAGTGCACATCTCTAATTTAAAAGCGGACGTGGGGGAAGTACCGTTTGCCTTTAAGTAATTTTTCCCGTTGCGATCTCCAGCAGTCAAATGAGCGAAGTCGTAGCGTGGTGGTGTGTTTTGTTTTTTGTGGATTACGGATCGACAAAAAAAGAAAGGCAATGACAGGGAGGAGAAAGGATCCCGTGTGGAAACATTTTAAGGAGACTGACGCCAAAACTGGCTGGAAAATAAATAAAAGAGCAAAATGTTTAACCTGCAACATCGATTTAGTGACATTGGTGGCTAGAATGCGCAAGCATATTAAACATTGAGAATACTTAAGGAAGTTTGTAAGAAAAACAAAATATTCATATATCAGATAGTTCTGATACCGACAATGATGTTTCTACCAAACCTACTTCCTCAAACTTAAGTATGTTGGAAAATTCTAAGAAAGGTAACAAATACGTAATAATTGCTGTTAAATTTTGTTTAAATATGTTAAATATATAAGAATTAACAATAAAACAGCTCCGTATTAAGGCTCGGTATATACTTTTGTTTTGTACAAGCAAATTTCTGTTAATCGACTCGTCACAGACCTACTACACTAACAGCAATGTTATTAATGCTTCCAGTTTAGCGTCATCCAGTTTCGCTATTTACGAGAAGACAAGGAGATAGAGACGATGTCCAACTAAAATCCCGACTGGATTCATTCGTTGTCAAAACAGCATGTATCGAGAAGAAAAAAAATGTATATCCAAGTAGCACGTTTTGTCATATATACACATCACTTTGCGTTTTTGAGAAAAAATCTTATGAGAATGTAAAACCATATGCTTACCAACTGATAAATGTTCTCCTCCTTGTTATACTGGATCCCATCCTCTGAAACATTGGTAAAATCAGAAGTCTTGTTAGGAACCGTGTTTCTGGCACCTTCATCAATTAATATCATGGATTCTTTGTCATTTAGTCCGATTCCGTTGCTAGAGGAGCGATCCGTAACAGGCGAAGGACGACCTCCAGGCAAGAGAATATTGTTGACAGCATACTCATTGGCTTCGTTGAACCGCACATTGTTCTCCAAGGCACTGAAGTCCACCGTCTGTTGTGTCTATAAAACAGGTTAATTATGAGATTTATAGACTTAAGCGTTCAAGAACCAGATGAATTTATTTATATCCATAATTATAGGTGTATAGTCAGTGGCTACACGCATAACCTCAAAACGGAAGTGGTAGTTAATTCGGTTAGACTGCAAAACTGATCGATTGAATCGATAAGCCAACATGAAATTATCTGCATTGCTTTATGTGTCAGAAATGTAATATCCAGGGTTGAAAAAAATATATTTAAAAAACAAAAATCATGTTTTTTAAGTTGTTTTTTTTTTTTGGTTTAAGACATTCTAATTTAGCTGAAAAAACCATGTTTAAAACACTGTTGATACATGTTCAAAACAGTAAAAAAAAATAGAAAACTATTGCCTATATAATCTAGCAATGTTAATGAAGTTCCTTGAAAGTGTTATAACTATTTTTGATCCAGCTCTATCAGAGCACATCTCTAATTTAAAATCGGACGTCAGGGAAGTACCGTTTGCCTTTAAGTAATTTTTCCCGTTGCGATCTCCAGCAGTCAAATGAGCGAAGTCGTAGCGTGGTGGTGTGTTTTGCTTTTTGTGCATTACGGATCGACAAAAAAAGAAAGGCAATGATAGGGAGGAGGAAGGATCCCGTGTGGAAACATTTTAAGGAGACTGGCGCCAAAACTGGCTCGAAAATAAATAAAAGAGCAAAATGTTTAACCTGCAACATCGGTTTAGTGACACTGGTGGCTATAATGCGCAAGCATATTAAACATTGAGAATACTTAAGGAAGTTTGTAAGAAAAACAAAATATTAATATATCAGATAGTTCTGATACCGACAATGATCTTTCTACCGTACCTACTTCCTCAAACTTAAGTAGGTTGGAAAATTGTAAGAAAGGTAACAAATGCGTAATTGCTGTTAAATTTTGTTTAAATATGTTAAATATATGAGAATTAAGAATTAAACAGGTCCGTATTAAGGCTCGGTATATACTTTTTGTTTTGTACAAGAAAATTTCTGTTAATCAACCACAATAAATTTTTAGATATCATTACAATTCTTACATAGGTATACTTTATTTTTTAGATGACTCGTCACAGACCTACTACACTAACAGCAATGTTATTAATGTTTCCAGTTTAGCGTCATCCAGTTTTTCGCTATCTACGAGAAGACAAGGAGATAGAGACGATGTCCAACTAAAATCCCGACTGGACTCATTCGTTGTCAAAAGAACATGTAGCGAGAAGAAAAAAATTGATATCCAAGTAGCACGTTTTGACATATATACACATCACTCTGCGTTTTTGAGAAAAAATCTTATGATAATGTAAAACCATATGCTCACCAACTGATAAATGTTCTCCTTCTTGATATATTGGATCCAATCCTCTGAAACATTGGGATAATCAGAAGTCTTGTTAGGAACCGTGTTTCTGGCACCTTCATCAATTAATATCATGGATTCTTTGTCATTTAGTCCGCTTCCGTTGCTAGAGGAGCGATCCGTAACAGGCGAAGGACGACCTCCAGGCAAGAGAATATTGTTGACAGCATACTCATTGGCTTCGTTGAATCGCACATTGTTCTCCAAGGCACTGAAGTCCACCGTCTGTTGTGTCTATAAAACAGGTTAATTATGAGATTTATAGACTTAAGCGTTCAAGAACCAGATGAATTTATTTATATCCTTAATTATAGGTGTATAGTCAGTGGCTACACGCATAACCTCAAAACGGAAGTGGTAGTTAATTCGGTTAGACTGCAAAACTGATCGATTGAATCGATAAGCCAACATGAAATTATCTGCATTGCTTTGTGTGTCAGAAATGTAATATCCAGGGTTGAAAAAAATATATTTAAAAAACAAAAATCATGTTTTTTAAGTTGTTTTTTTTTTGGTTTAAGACATTCTAATTTAGCTGTAAAAACCATGTTTAAAACACTGTTGATACATGTTCAAAACAGTAAAAAAAAATAGAAAACTATTGCCTATATAATCTAGCAACGTTAATGAAGTTCCTTGAAAGTGTTATAACTATTTTTGATCCAGCTCTATCAGAGCACATCTCTAATTTAAAATCGGACGTCAGGGAAGTACCGTTTGCCTTTAAGTAATTTTTCCCGTTGCGATCTCCAGCAGTCAAATGAGCGAAGTCGTAGCGTGGTGGTGTGTTTTGCTTTTTGTGCATTACGGATCGACAAAAAAAGAAAGGCAATGATAGGGAGGAGGAAGGATCCCGTGTGGAAACATTTTAAGGAGACTGGCGCCAAAACTGGCTCGAAAATAAATAAAAGAGCAAAATGTTTAACCTGCAACATCGGTTTAGTGACACTGGTGGCTATAATGCGCAAGCATATTAAACATTGAGAATACTTAAGGAAGTTTGTAAGAAAAACAAAATATTCATATATCAGATAGTTCTGATACCGACAATGATCTTTCTACCGTACCTACTTCCTCAAACTTAAGTAGGTTGGAAAATTGTAAGAAAGGTAACAAATACGTAATTGCTGTTAAATTTTGTTTAAATATGTTAAATATATGAGAATTAAGAATAAAACAGGTCCGTATTAAGGCTCGGTATATACTTTTTGTTTTGTACAAGAAAATTTCTGTAAATCAACCACAATAAATATTTAGATATCATTACAATTCTTACATAGGTATACTTTATTTTTTAGATGACTCGTCACAGACCTACTACACTAACAGCAATGTTATTAATGCTTCCAGTTTAGCGTCATCCAGTTTTTCGCTATCTACGAGAAGACAAGGAGATAGAGACGATGTCCAACTAAAATCCCGACTGGACTCATTCGTTGTCAAAACAACATGTAGCGAGAAGAAAAAAATTGATATCCAAGTAGCACGTTTTGACATATATACACATCACTTTGCGTTTTTGAGAAAAAATCTTATGATAATGTAAAACCATATGCTCACCAACTGATAAATGTTCTCCTCCTTGTTATATTGGATCCAATCCTCTGAAACATTGGGATAATCAGAAGTCTTGTTTGGAACCGTGTTTCTGGCACCTTCATCAATTAATATCATGGATTCTTTGTCATTTAGTCCGCTTCCGTTGCTAGAGGAGCGATCCGTAACAGGCGAAGGACGACCTCCAGGCAAGAGAATATTGTTGACAGCATACTCATTGGCTTCGTTGAATCGCACATTGTTCTCCAAGGCACTGAAGTCCACCGTCTGTTGTGTCTATAAAACAGGTTAATTATGAGATTTATAGACTTAAGCGTTCAAGAACCAGATGAATTTATTTATATCCTTAATTATAAGTGTATAGTCAGTGGCTATACCCATAACCTCAAAACGGAAGTGGTAGTTAATTCGGTTAGACTGCAAAACTGATCGATTGAATCGATAAGCCAACATGAAATTATCTACATTGCTTTGTGTGTCAGAAATGTAATATCCAGGGTTGAAAAAAAATATATTTAAAAAACAAAAATCATGTTTTTTTTACGTTGTTTTTTTTTGTTTAATACATTCTCATTTAGCTGAAAAAACCATGTTTAAAACACTGTTAATACATGTTTAAAACAGTAAAAAAATTAGAAAACTATTGCCTATATAATCTAGCAACGTTAATGAAGTTCCTTGAAAGTGTTATAACTATTTTTGATCCAGCTCTATCAGAGCACATCTCTAATTTAAAAGCGGACGTGGGGGAAGTACCGTTTGCCTTTAAGTAATTTTTCCCGTTGCGATCTCCAGCAGTCAAATGAGCGAAGTCGTAGCGTGGTGGTGTGTTTTGTTTTTTGTGGATTACGGATCGACAAAAAAAGAAAGGCAATGACAGGGAGGAGAAAGGATCCCGTGTGGAAACATTTTAAGGAGACTGACGCCAAAACTGGCTGGAAAATAAATAAAAGAGCAAAATGTTTAACCTGCAACATCGATTTAGTGACACTGGTGGCTAGAATGCGCAAGCATATTAAACATTGAGAATACTTAAGGAAGTTTGTAAGAAAAACAAAATATTCATATATCAGATAGTTCTGATACCGACAATGATCTTTCTACCGAACCTACTTCCTCAAACTTAAGTAGGTTGGAAAATTGTAAGAAAGGTAACAAATACGTAATTGCTGTTAAATTTTGTTTAAATATGTTAAATACTTATATAAGAATTAAGAATAAAACAGGTCCGTATTAAGGCTCGGTATATACTTTTTGTTTTGTACAAGCAAATTTCTGTTAATCAACCACAATAAATTTTTAGATATCATTACAATTCTTACATAGGTATACTTTATTTTTGAGATGGCTCGTCACAGACCTACTACACTAACAGCAATGTTATTAATGCTTCCAGTTTAGCGTCATCCAGTTTTTCGGTATTTACGAGAAGACAAGGAGATAGAGACGATGTCCATCTAAAATCCCTACTGGACTCATTCGTTGCCAAAACAACATGTAGCGAGAAGAAAAAAATGTATATCTAAGTAGCACGTTTTGTTTATACCACAAACTGTGCTTTTAAAGCAGTGGAACACCACGAAATTAAGCGGATAATGGAAATGTTGCGTCCAGGTTGTCAGCCACCTAGTCATCAGCAAATAGGAAATGAATTTCTTAGTAACGTATACACAATTTTGCAAGTAGAAATAAAAATACGTAGTCGTGCCATAAGTTCTGTCCCATGATAATCTCATGATAAAAATGAAACAAGATAAGATATATTTATATGAAAGATATTATTTATTCGACAACATTTTTAGAATTCATAATCAAACAGTTTTATTCAAAATGTCCCCCCTTGGCCTTCACACACTGCTTCAATCTCGCGGGCCACTCATCTATCACTGCACGCACAGCTTCCAAAGGAATAGCTGCCGCTGATCGGATCAAATCCGCTTTCAGGGACTCGATATTACGGTGGGCTTTGGAGCAGGCCAACTGCTCTAGCAGGTCCCACAACTTGTAGTCTAAAGGATTGAGGTCCGGACTCCCTGAGGGCCAATCTTCCGCAGCAATGAACTCTGGCACATTGCTTTCCAGCCAGCGCTGCGTACTCTTAGCCTTGTGAGCGGGGGCGGAATCCTGCTGGTAGACCCAGTGTTGGTTGGCAAACAATGTACCACTTAAAGGCTTGACGATAGGATCCAGTATGTCGCTCTGATAGTTTGCCGCTTTTGTTTTCACGCCCTGTTTACAGAAATGGAGCTGAGTGACCCCTTCGTAGGACACCCCCCACCAAACCATGACTGACGCAGGGTGGTGGCCTCTCTCAACTCTCGGAATGATCTCCGAAGCTTCCTGTGAACTCCTTGCATACACTTTGTCATTTTGTCGGTTGAATTTTTCTTCTATGGTGAAGATTTTCTCATCCGTGAACAAAATCTTTCGGAATCCCCCAGCTGCGTACCTCTCCAAGAGCTTCTTGGATCTTGTCGCCCTGATGTGTCGCAAGGTGGCCGTAAGTCGCTGGCCCGTACGTCTCCGGTAAGCCCCTAGCCCTAGGTCTTGTTTAATGATGCGCGACATCGTCCGGACAGGAATCTTCATTTCCCTGGATAGGATCTTCTGCTTCCGGAGTGGATTCCTTTGAATCCTGGTTTTTACGGCTTTGATGGCTGCTGGAGTCCTTACTTGACGAGGTCTTCCGCTTCTTGGCCTGTCATCAACAGAGGACGTCTCATTGTACCGCTGAATGGTCCTAGACACAAATTTACGCGATATTTGAAGGCCGCGTAAGAGTTCAAAAATCTGACTAGCACTGTGATTACACTTATGTAAAGCTATCACTGCAATACGGTTCTCTGCCTTGCCCCACTCCATCGTTATGCTTCGAGAGATCAATACAAACTGAGGTATATGTAATTACCCGAAAAGCGCTTAATCAACTGACACCACAATGTAAACAATCGGACAAGTATTAACAGGTCTACACTTGTTTGAAAACGAGGGACAGAACTTATGGCATGACTACGTATTATATGATTGCTTTGCTGCTTGGTGTACTAGTATTAGAGTTCAATACAGTTTATTAAGTTCACTCGTTCGTTAAGAAACAGATTTTTTTCCACTAGTATTAGTTATAAAGTATGGTTCTTAGTACCTATGTGCTTTAACCTATGGCCTTTTTAGTTTTTTTTTGCAAATTAAAATCAATTTCAATCATACTTGAAAAAATATAAAAAATTGAATAATTCACAAACGACAAAAAATAACTCTGTTTGAAACAGTGTTTAAAACGCCCGTTTTAAGCATATTGATTAAAACATAATAATCCTGGTCATTTCTACTCATCATTTTGTGTTTTTGGAAAAAATCTTATGATAATGTATAGCCATACTTACCGATTGATATGGGTTTTCGTAGTTATTATATTGAATCCAATCCACTGTAACATTGGAAAAGTCAGAACTCTTATTAGGAACCCTGTTTCCGGTACTTTTATGAATCGATATCATGGATTCTATGTCATTTAGTCCGATTCCGTTGCTAAAGGAGCAATCCGTAACAGGCGAAGGACGACCTCCAGGCAAGAGAATACTGTTGACAGCATTCTCCAAGGCACTGAAGTCCACCGTCTGTTGTGGAAAGCTAGTAGAATAGCTGTGGCTTGGTTCGTTGAAATTGTGGATCACTTGGTTCTGTTTCGAAGTTCGCATGAACGACGCATCGCCTAAAAACATAATAAATTTCAAATTGTAGGGCTGCAAGTAGATCGGACTACGTATTTTGTGCCGTAACGCTTCAAAACGTTTCATTGTACTACAAATAGGAGAAGCATAAAAAATACGCAAAGCACACTGTTCGAAACATAGCCTCGAGAAGTGGCAAAACGTTTCGCCACGTCGACTTCAACACTGTCAATTACGTCTTAATGTTTCGATCTTAAAGTATAGAAAAATTGTACAGCTCCATAATTGAGTGTACCTTACTGCAAGATTCACAATCTCCAACTTTTAACGAAGTTCGTTTAACATCTGTTCTGTATTTTCATTATTCTTATACGAAGGAAAAGTAATATTATCTTTAAAATAAAGAAGGAAAAACGATCCCGTCTCTAGCACCCACAATCTTTCTTACAACCCTATGGTCCCCAAAGAAAAGTGGATCTAGTAGACCACCACATGAACGCTATGAGCCACAACTAATAACTTTAGTAGTAGTTACTCTTTTTCAAACATGACCTAAGGTGAAGGAAATGATGCAATTTTAAAAAATTTCTTCAATTACGCCTATTTAAAATATATTTTTACTATTTCAGTATATTTGAAACCATTGATAGAGTATGTTGCACCTAAAGCAAGTTAAGCTAGTCTTGCAACATTGTTTTTTTAGAATTACACAATTATTGTTGTCGGGAAAGTTGGGAGGAAATTCTGCTGTAATTTATGTAGGGGGGGTAGTTTTCACCCTTCTCAAATCCTTTCGGATTTATGTAAAAGTCGAATATTAGGATATCTAGCAAAAAAGATGTGTTCTAAATTTAATTAAAGTCGGACAATTGGTTAGAAAAATATATGAAAAAATATGTTTTACAAAGAAAACTTTGACGCCCTCTAAAGCACAAACGAAGCACCTTTGCATAGAGGTAAGACATCTCCAATCGACTTAGTTTGAGTCTAAAAACACATAGTACCTCCATATACTCCATTGAAATACCCTGTATTATTTGAATCTGAATTTGGGTATTCAACAGTTTAAATGTCACAGTAACAGATTTTCTATATCCGTGCTATGAAAGTTGTATCACAAATCGGCCTTGATCTTGGTCGCTGTTGCTACTCTAAAAATTTAAGCTTAAGCCCAGAAGCATTTTTTCCAGCTGGTACATCTAGTTCTTGCACTATCAATCACAAGACGTTTTTTTCTAAATTTCGTTTTGAAAAAGGTAGTAGAATTAGATATTAAACATTGAGACCTGACATTCTTATTTATCTAAGTTTTTGGAACACTTTATCCCTTATTTCCATCTTTTCCCATGACTTTGTTAGTCCTATCAGAGACACCGGGAATTTAAAAACCTAACCCTTGATAACTGTTAGAGGCACTAAACGAATGTTACTCTATTGAATATTTAT